GTTATTGAAGTTGCCATAAATACTGAGTGCTGAATTATTGATTTACTTGCATGTATGTACATCTGATACTCCTCAAATGTCAGAGTACCATATGCTGTTGCATATAAATAGCGATCTGCAATTCATACAGCACAAATCACAGACATAGCAATTGGGATCTCAGACTGCAGGGCTGGGTTTCAGAGGGTGCCTAATGCCCTCTGAATGCTTTTGCAGTCATAAGTACCATCTGTTTTGACACAGTCTGGGACTGCTTCACACTGGTGGTCAGGAATCCATGTAACTTAGTGCAGTTGGGCTTAAGCCAGTTACATTTTTCTAGTAGAAGAAAAGCTGCCAGTGGCCATGTCTCTTTCCCAGCTTAACTCCCAAGTTTCCCATAAACAAAATTTTAATCCTTGTGGTTCTGAATAAGCACTTCGTGCTTGCTGAGTGCGTTGTTGTGTGTGTGTTGTGTGTATTTGTAAGAAGAGGAGACTGCTCACTGTCACTCCAGGGCTCTCATAACGTGACGTGTTTATTATGGAAAAGCCTCGGTTTGTGTATCTTTGTTGGAGAGATGCTGGATAAGTTGGATTGAGCTGGTGTTGTGCGTTTCTGCTTTGGAGACCTATGTTTCTTTTCTTTCATCCTCTCCAGAGTGTCCCTCTCACCCAGGTCCCAAAGGTGATTTGTTGGGGAATTCGCTTTGGCCAGTTCTTTGCTGAATGCATTCCTTTGTCTGTACATGTAGTGGCAACACTGTGAGCTTGTAAGAAATGCAAAAATGTGGATTAAGTGAAGTTTTCTACCATTCCTTCAAAAAGCCCTGGAGACCAGCTTTGTTTTTCTCAGTTTGGCCATGTGTCAGAAGGGAGGAGGAATGCAACCCTAGAAACAAGGTATTTGCCCTCAAAACATGAGAGTGCTTGCCAGGATACTAGCAGGTGCTTTTGAAGGAATCTGATTCCTGGAAAAGAAAATAAACTTTGAAAACTGAGGTGTAAATGGATCTGAGCTGATCAGGAGCAGGTGTTGCAAGTCAGCCTTTAGTTACACTTGCAGAGTTCTACTGATTTTCTGTAATCCATGGGCATCCTACAGAGATGGATGCAGGCAGGGCTCCTAGTCTCCAAAAGCATTAGCCTGGGAGTAAACACGTCTCATTGTAAAGTTAGGAAAACTGAGACTGCCTCAGTGTAATTCTCCTAGGGGACTGAAAAGAGCTCACCAAACTCACCCTGGAGAGAGCAGCAACATGGTAATTTATTAAGCAGTATTTTTAGATGAAGGTGACGTTCTCCTGTCTGTTGGCAGCATTTTTTGTTGTTTTTTAATTATCACTCACTTACTGGTAGTTTAGGTGGTAGGGGGATGTGTCTACTGCTCTGACACCCGACTTGTCAGCTGGGACACCAAGTGGGCACTTGCAGGTATCTCATGGTCAATCCATAACAAGCTGGGCTGAGCCAAGCTGAGTTGGGATTGGCTTTACCAATTGGATTTTGAATTTGTTTTCTTATTTTTAATCTAGAGACCTCTTCCTATGCTGTGTACAACTCTGTGCTATAATTTGCAGCTTTATCTTTTCCAAGTTATTGGCAAAGACCATGTTTTCAAAGCCTGAATATATTTTAGGAAGAATATTTGTACTATTCTGAATTACACTGATTTAATGCATCATTAGCATATGGAGAAAGACAATTTACAAGAGCATGTAGAGATAGGGGAAATGGCTTCAAAGTGAAAAAAAAGAGTAGATTTAGATTACATATACAATGAGGCTAATGAGGCAATGGAACAGGTTGCCCACAGAAGTTGTAGATGTCCCATCCCTGGAAATGTTCAAAGCCAGGCTGGATGGCAGTCTGTTCTAGCAGAAGTTGTCCCTCCCACAGCAGGAGGAATGGATTTAGATGATCTTTAAGGTCCCTTTCAACCCATCAGCATTCTGTGATCTAAACTTGAGTGATAGGAGAGAAGCACAGTTTTATGGCTTTAAATCTCTCATTACTGTTTATTCTTCTGTTTAGCATACTGCTTACCATTTGTTTCTCCAATTTTGAAGGTCAAATCCTGGGTCCCCTGTTAATTTGAAAGTCAGTAATTTCTGAGAGCTGCATGCTTTTAAAATGCCAACAGTTGATTATGAAAAACAATGTTCTTTTACACAAATAATTTGTTTATGGTGAATATGCGGGAAACAGCCGTTCTTGGGGGAATTATTTGTCTACTGCAGCGTTTGCTACCAACTGGATGCAAGTCCTCTTGATTACACAACAAAGTGATTACATTGTCAGCTTTTCCCAGAGGCAAACATTCCTCTGCTTTGTATATTATTTTCTGTTTAGAGTCACGCACATCTACCAGAACTACACTTCAGAGTTCTGAAGGTCCCTGTGGTTTTGATCCACGTGAACTGGGGATTTTGAAAATGTTTCTCTTCCATAAATTTATTCCAGCAACTTGTCTTGAAGGTTTGTAATAATGTAAACTGATACATATTTTATTCCAAATTCTCTCATTTTGGGAAGGTGAAATAGTGGAACAGCTACAATTGTCTGGAGCAGCTGACTGGATTTCTGCATTTTGAAATTGGGAGCCATTAAGCAGTTGTTCCAGTTTTCTATATACATTGCAAAGATACATTTGCAACACAGACTGAATGTTTATCATTCAAAGACAGAGAAGGATCTGTTTGTCCCATCTCAGTGTTATTCTAAGTGACTGGTTCTGGCCATGTAGGTGTAGCTTGAGAGCCACTGTCAAGGAGTGTGCACTTATCTCCTCTACATTTATGTAAACTTGGTATTAAATGAAAAATAAAAAACAATAGAGTTAAAAATCAGAACAAAGTAATGTAGATGTTGTCCAGTCAGGTGGAAAAACGTTTTATCTGACAAAATTTTGACCTTGGAGCATGTTAGAGTAACTCAAAGAAAAGGCGGGTTACAGTTGTAAGCCTGTTTCACTGAAACAACTGGATAAATTGGGAAGGTTTTTTGTATTCACAAGGATGGTGTTCCTGGGTTACTTAAGGATGTCAACTTATCAGGAGAAGAGAGAGAGATGATGGCAGGATTTCTAGTATGATTTGAAATTAAGCAAACTTCCTATCTTTTTGTTGTCTTATTTAAACCTTTATGTAGAAGTATGTTGAAGATGCTTATTTATAAGCATCTTGTAAAATGGTTATTCTCATTTTCACTACATTTGGTTTGCACATTTCAGAGCAGTGCATTGAAAAGTATGGACCCCATAGGTGTGATAATCCTGAAAATGAGGGATGATGAAATGCCACTTGTCTGGTCCATTGATAATCCATCCCTGAAAATCCAGCAGAGCACAGGATTCCTCTCCTCAAAGTGGTATGGAATAGGTTGGGAGATGATAACTCATGATTTGGAGGAGATAGAGAGGGGCTTCTTCTGACCAGTAGGTTTATCTACATTAGCATTTTTGCTCAAGTCCAAAGCTCACTTTTGAAATATTTCTCCTTCTTACTCTGTTTTAGTAACCACCACAAGGTATACGAACCCAGTCACACTCAGGCAAAACTAAAGCAAAAAAATATGTTCTGGCAGTACACCTAAAGCACCAAAGGCAACCCCTACTGAGCATTCAGGGCTGGGGATTAAATTAAATATTGGCAAAAAAATAACACCCACTTCCCAGGCCTGTGGATGTTGGGTTTTCAGCAATATTAGTTTTGCTCCACAGAACTCTTTCTGGGCTGTACTCCTTGCTAATGTAAATATAAACGAGCTCAGCTGGAGGAGTTCTCTGGCATACCATAAAGAGTTGGGAGAGCATCTGACCTGAAGGATTTAAGATCTTGTGCTTAAGCACGTGTGGAATTCATTTTGGGACATGTATTTACTGAACATGGAAAAAATGCACCTTCCAATCCATTTCTATGTAATTCCCACAATGATGCACTGTGAAACCCTTTTCTCAGAGCTGATGTGCTCTGATGTGCATCAGTGGCACTGAAGGCTAAATTAAGGTACTTTGACTTCCTGAACTAATAGTGAATTACTTTTTTACTTTTCCTCCCCATCTGTCTTTGTATTTTTAGCTTTGTTCAAAAATATGGGGATAAAATGAATTCCCGCCAAACGACGGGGACAAACTCAGTAGGGGGGAAATTAGTTCCCAGCTTTCCACAAATACATTGTAAGGAAGAATTATTTGCTTAATGAAACTATAATGATTACTTCACTTGCAATGCTCTTTGACTTTAACCATCTATTTTGAGTATGCCAGGAATGCAAGATCAGGTCTCCAAATGTATGTAGGGAAGTTTCTAGGCTAAAGAAAACTGGAACTCAACATCACAGGGAAGTTACACCAGTGTAATCCAAGGTGTAAAGTGTCACACAGAAACTACTATGAAATGGCTACAGATTTTAGTTAATATATCCCTCTTCCACAATGCCTCTCGTCTTACACAATAGGTGCAGTTTCTTACTACATTCTAGAGGAGGTTTTTAAAAACCATAAAAGGTTATTTCAAGTTCTGTGGAACTGTTCCTTCCAAGACCATGTGGATGTGATTACTTTGTGAGCTCCAAGGTTGCTTATTTTTACGCTGACAAATCGAGCTCTGCCACGGGTCTTTGTGCTTAAAATGAGAATTGCATGACTGACAAGATCTTACAGGATAAAAAATTAGTTTTCAGCTTTGCCAAAGTGGTTTTGTTCCTTTGACCTCAGTTTTCCATGTAATTTTCTGTTTTGGCAAAAATAAATTGTCTGGTGAGAGGGAAGCAGTACCTGTAACACATCTCAGGTTTATTTGGGCTTTTGCATGTGAGTATTGGAAACAAGCTGGTGAAATGCCAAGTAAACAAAATCATGATAAGGTAAGGTGGGCACTGAAGGGGAATAGTGTTTCATGTAGTTATCACTGAGTATTTGTCAGCTGTGATGATGTTTCAGGAAGAACTCATTAGAAATCACAGAATAGTCTGATTTGGAAGGGACCCACAAGGACCATTGAGTCCAGCTCTTGAGTGAATGGCTCATAGAGGGATTAAACCCACAACCTTGGTGTTACCAGCACCATGCTCTGACCAACTGAGCTGGTCTAATCTGTGATGGTTTACAGTATTTGTTAGCAGGTTGCCAGACATTCTGTTTCTCTCCAGGAACCATCTTTTTCAATTGAATTGAGACACAAAATTACCAATATCTAGAGAAATGGGTTGAAATGTATGGCCCTGGAGCTGCAAGGTATTTGGAAAACTGAAAACTAACACACTTTGAGAAGGTTGCTCAGTACTCAAAATACTCTTGAAAAAGTAGATTAACGAGAGAGAAAACAGCATTCTCTAAGGAGACGGGTGTAGGAAAGATGAATGGATTCTATAAACACAGATGAGGAAAATAAATGTTTAGGTGCTGTATGGCACATGGGAATCCCAGCAGTATCTTGAGTCACATAGTGACATCAGCCTTCTGAGACTGTTGAAATCTGCAAGGTTGAAAATGTGGTTTTCATGAAATATGGGTGCAAAGGACTCCACTTTAACCACTGCTGGTGAAGGTTGGGTGGTGCATGGTGCTCAGTTCAGAGCATTAAGAGAAAAAAACACAGGTAGGAGAAAAAGTAAAGGAAAAGATAGAAGAAACTTGGCATATTAGTAACATGACTAATAAAAAGAAAGGAAAATGCATGTAAGAAATCCTTACAGGGAGAGTGAAGACTTCTCATTCTTCACAAGCACAAGGAGAGGGGCAAGAAACAGCTTCTTATATGAGCCAAATAAGAGGAAAAACTTAGAAACTTAGATACAGTGACAACACTGGAATAGGCACGTCCGTGAGCTGAATAATAGTTGCTCATAGCAGTTAAAAGCAGGGCAGACATGCACATCTGAGACAGTTTAGATGTACTTGAAGAGAGATGAGAGAGCTCATCCAACTCATTCTGTATGTTCTTCATTGTAAAAGGCTGCAAAATTGTGTAGGTATCTCCACTGGGCAACTCCTTCCTCTTTCCTTTTGGCATTCTTGACCGCTGCAGCCTTGCAAAAGTTTGCATGTGAGTTTTGTTCCAGCTGCCTCTTTGCTATCTCAGACTCTCCAGTTCCTCCCAGCCTCCTGGGATTGGGAGGAACCGAGGTCAGTAGGGTAACTTACCCTGAGAGAAATGCCTGAGGATGTTTGGGATGTGGAAGACACTTTTTTTTTTTTTTTTTGGTAGGTATCACTGTTTCTGGAACTTTGTCCATACCCAGGGCCTTGGAAAGAAAATGACTGTGTTGTAGCCTGCTGTCCTAGCTAACTCTTTTTCCTACTCTCATCTAAGGGCACACAGCCTTATTTGAAATGTCTGTCAAATTCACAAGTCTCTCCTTGAATCAGCCCACAGTGTATCCCCTGTAGAAGCTCCCTTTTGCACTGTTGATTGTAGCTGCTACAACCATTAAGTTCTCATTTTCCCCAGTCTCAGTAAAAGGACTACTTACTTGGCATGCCTGAGGTTGATGGTATTGTGGTAAAAATGTGAAGTCTATACCCACATTGCACTTAATAAAATATGTAATATCTACACAACACTTATTGAAGAGATGCTAAGTCAGTGAGGTTTTGGCACTCGTGTAAATGCTTCTTGTGCACGTTACTTTGCAGCTAATGTTTACAGGAACGACAATTGCTTTTTATTTTTTGCAGCTGTACTGACTTTTTCAGAGCTTGAACACAGTTTAGTTTATTTCTTGCCTTATTTTTGCTAAAAACGTCAGTGGTGACAGGAGAGCAACACGGAGGATCCTTTTCAGTTGTCAAATAAAAATCTGAAGTTTGATTGATATTTGCAAAATTTTCATTTAAGTTTTGTTAGCTTGAAGAGCTCAGTATAGTATTAATTTAAAAAAAGACTCATTCACAATTCCATAGTGGAAGGTGTGAATGGATGGAGTCATGCCTTAAGCATGGAAAATGGTTCAGTCTTAAAAAGTTCATGCTGTGATCCAGACATCCAGTGTCCCATGTTAGTGTGCATTTGTGGAGTAATGGAAATACAACCTTGCTTTATCTCTCTGGTTCTGAAATCAGAGACTGCATATTATTGTCAATGCCAGAAGGAATGGAGACTAGATCTTGGCTTAAATCTTATATATTTAAAGGTTTTTTTGTTCCCAGATGTATGTATTAATTGGGAAACAAACTGTGGAGAAAGAATCCTTTGAAATAAACCAGATTCCTAGTGGAATAAGAAAACTCCCTCTAGTGCATTTTCTCCCTCTATGTCAGCTTTTATGGTCTTGTTTCTGGCACTCATCTTTTGAGATTTTTTTAAAGATTGTTAAGAAATTTTCTCTTACATCAACAAACAACTTTCAAAGCTTGATCAAAGCTTTAATAAAGGCATCTTGCACAGAAGATTGGAGGCAAAGGGGCAAAAGAAGCTGTTGGGAGGGAAGTGCAGGGCTACTTTCTAATTTGCTTTTACATTCTAGGATCACCAAAATTAAAGTTGCATTTCAGGCTTGTAAACAATTGAGTTTACAAGAGAAATGCTTGTATAGGGCGTGTGTGTCTATAAAGATGTGTACTGAGAAGCGTAATCAGCAACTTCATTTGTACTTGCAGAGTTGTGTTTATTAATGTTACATTGTCATTTAGTTGTTCTTTCTCAGACTGCCCCAGCCTGTTGGCTAGCCCTCAGTAAATGGTGAAGGAAAAATTCAAAGGAAACTCCTAGAGATTGAGATAGTGCTATAGGAAGCCCCTCCCAACAACATTAGAAAAGTCTGGAAAATGTATAGTAGACCAAGTGTTTTGCTGAAGTTTTAAATACTAGCAAATACTAGCAAAAAGCTTTCCAAGTTTTTCCTGGCAATAAGGCTCCTGGACTCACCTGCTAGTTTTTTATTTTTTGTTTCCCCTTAGGGGTGTACAGCGAACAGTAAGCAGGAATACCTCTGTGTGGAGTTCAGCTGAGCTACCAGCAAAATTCCTGTCTGAGAGCATATTGCATTACGGGCTCAGCAGAGCAGTAATGTGCTCCCAACTCCCTTTTTTAAACACAGTGACAACACCATGGTCTTTTTCCAGAATACTTTGTGATGGGGAGACAGGGTGTATGTGTATGTGTCTGTCTGGAAGTCCATGCCCCAAGGATGGAGGGAACAAGTTTCACATGATGCACCTTCAGGACTGAAGGGAAAGGAAATACAGGATGCACATCTGGAACTGCTATACTAATGAGAGAATTAAGAGAGCAAAAAGCACGGAGCATACACATAAAACAGAAGGTCAGGCCTTTTTTAGCTCGAAGTCTAAGTTGAAAAACACATATTAGTAATTCATTACGCACCCAGAATGTCTGAGGTATTGATTATTCGCAGTGCCCAGGAGAGATGAAGGAATGCCACTTCTGATCCAAAAGCAGTGGAGATTAGCCGTATTAGCTTGGAGTATTGCTCACCAGGGGAAGAGGGGGAGAATCATCAAGTATGGAAAGCTTTTTTTATGCATAAGTAGAAATGGAAACTAATGAACACTGTAGCCCTACAGAAATTTTGAGGTGTTTTTAATGATAACTGACTAAAAATGTATGTTTTCCAAATATGCTGTCTTACAGAAGGCACTCATTCCCATAGGAGTGAAAATTATTTAAAGCAGATGTTAATAATCTAAAGTTTTTGCTTTTGATTTTACTGTTTTTTTGAATAGAAACAAGTGTTTGTTCTGTGTTTTTTTTATTTATATCATTTTGTTTTCCTTTTTGTTCTGGTTTGTGTAAAACAAGCAACCAAGGAAAAGGCCCAAAGCAAATGAAAAAGTAAAAAGAAAGGAATTGACAATATCAAATACATGTAATAGTAGAAGATACATCCAGCAATTGGAAAAAACTATATAGTCTTTTATGTTAGAAACATTCTTGTATTAAAATCTCAAAAAAGGAGCAAGAAGTAAAGGCTTTGCCACATATTCTGCAAATGTTTAGCTTCAGGCACTGTCACTGGTTTTGGTGATAATGTGAGGGAGGTCAAACATATGGTATGTCCTTGCAAAAATTAATCTTGGGGACTGTTGCATAACAGGCCTGTGGAGTCAGTGCTTGTCTGCAGGAGCCTGGCTGCTGCTGGTTGGTTTTTTTTTTCTCCAGCTGTAAATCTCATTTTTAAAGTACCAGCATATACCAGATGCTTACCAAATAACACTCCTCGATGCAATTATTTGCAATAGCTGCCAGAGGGGTATTAGGAGGTCTCAAAGGGAGCAGGGTGTCTGCACAACCCACTCAGCATGAAGATACTGTTCTTGCTCATAAATGCACAAATCCCTGTATTCGGACCACATAGCCATAGCACAGACTCAGAAGCCTTGGGGAAAATGTTCTTTCCCTTCCTTTGCTGAAACAGTGAGTTCCTAAGTAAAACAAGATGCAGAAGAGGAAGAAGGAAGGAGCTTGGTATTATAGGTTTTTCCTCCACGGTGTAAGAAGATGATTTTGATCTCTCTTCAACTCAACTAGGTGATCTTGAGCAAGACATTGGACTTTGTGTCTTTGGGTTCTTCAGCTGAATATTTGTGCCTCTTTCCCTTGCAGACACACTATGAAAATACAGGCCTGTGGTTGCTGTTGTAGGTGGTGATATCAGAGCAGCCTGTGCTGGGCTAAGTAAAAGCTTGGCGGGAAAGTTTATGTGAAACCATCAAATTCACCAAAAGTGTACTTAATTAAAACACTCTGCCCAAATCCAGGTGTGGACATGTTTGTTGAGTGCATTTCTGGCTGTATCTTGCTTAGCCCTTGTCTGTGCTGTCAGCCACACAGCTGCAGAGTCCATGTTACTTAAGGGGCTGCCTTTGTACACTTCCCTGAAAGGTCTGAACATTGATGTGACAGCAGGAGATGTGATGTAGAGAAAAGCTTGGTCCTCTAAAAACATTGTCTGTCTGTGAAGCTTGTTATTTTACTGGTCACTAAATTGTGATTACTGTATTCATTTCTGGGTAGTGCTTTCCTTTATAAAGTTTCTGTTGAGATTGGTACTGAGGTGGAGGGAGTGTGCTCAGCAGCAGCATGCATCTCTCATACACTGGTTGTATATTGTGAAGCATACTGCTAAAGTATCC